AAAAAATTAAGAGGATCATATGGTTCAATTCCACCTCGAGAAGAATGGAAACTTAGTGGTCCAAATGCAGCTTATGTATATTATTGTGATAACGAAACCGTTAATGGAGTAGAATTTAATTATGTTCCTGAAATTGAACCTTCTGTACCATTAGTTTGTGACATGTCTTCAAATATTCTTTCACGTAAAGTGGATATTTCAAAATTTGGTTTAATTTATGCGGGAGCACAGAAAAATATTGGACCGGCAGGTGTGACAATCGTAATAGTTCGAGAAGATTTATTGACCAGATTAGAAATTTCGGATTCTAAATTACCAGCAATTCCATCAATGTTAGATTATAAAGTTATGGCAGAAAATAATTCACTTTATAATACACCACCAATGTTTTCAATTTATGTAGCAAGTTTGGTGTTTGAATGGTTGTTAGAAAATGGTGGAATTGAGGAAATTGAAAAGATCAATTCTATTAAAGCTGCCAAATTATATGATTGTATTAATAAATCAAAAATATACAAGTCACCTGTTGAAGAGAGTGTAAGATCAAGGATGAATGTACCATTTAGAATTCAACCAGAAGAATTGGAAAAGGAATTTTTAAAAGGAGCAGATGAGTTGGGGATGTTACAATTAAAGGGACATCGAAGTGTTGGTGGAATCAGAGCTAGTATTTATAATGCAGTTCCTTTAGAGGCTGTTGAAACATTGATTCAATATATGCAAGAATTCGAACGAAAACATTCTCAATGATGTAACGTGATAATGACGTAATAATAATAATAACATATTAATAGTATATTTAACAATTTTATAATAATTATTTTTAATTGTATTTAATTTTTTTATTTTTTTCTAATAAGGTGACACTTGAATAACAATGTTACGATTTTTTATCAGATGCATCATTACAAGGAGGAGGAATTGGTGAATTTGGATCAATAGGTTTATGAACAACTCGTCCAACTCTATAATATGTATGATGATCACGATAAAAACTAACCCAATTTTCAAGATCCTGTTATAAATTATGATTAAAATTATAAGTTCTAATTCAATAATTGTAATTGTAATAATTATAAATAAAATACCTTAAGTTGTTCACGTGTTAATCCACGCAAGTCATGAGTTAGATGAGTTTCGAAACATCCTGTCACGTAAGAACGGGAGGCATCTTTTCCAGAAAAGAAGCTGTATCCACCACCCTATTTTTATTTGTAAT